AATTTATTCCGTACCAGTTTCCAGTCTTTTATGCAAAAACAAATATAGTCGGGTGCATCAACGCTATTGAAGTATTTTCTTTCCTTAAATTACATTAATAAAAGAAAGCATCACACTTTAGACTATTTTTCTTTTATTAGTTCTTTTTCAGTTTAGAGAGGCAGAAGCCAAGTTGTTAAACTTCCACGTTTCCATATTCATAAGCCTAAAAGTTCAATTGCAAACAGAATGTAGTGATTTTTAATCAGATTTTTGGATGATATAAAATAGAGCTTATCATACGTAAGTATTGATGTCTCTTTAACAATAAATCTTTTTTAAATACCCATTAAATAGAAATATAAAGAGAAAACTTTGATTAAATTTCGTTTACGCCTTTCGTAATTATTTCGAATTGAAATTAAATAAATAAAATTGATGGTATTAATTGATTTCATTAACTAATTTTTTCTCACAACGTTTTGAAGTATATTAGACATTCTTTGTCCTTTTGTGTAATATAAATAATTTTAACAAGTAAAAATTAATACTGAAGTTATCAATATTTGAACAGAATCGCGTTTTATGCAACGTGTAATCATCCTTTAATTGATTAAGAATTAAAAGGCTAATTCTGTTAGTTGACTGATGTCAGACACTGTTATTTGGCATTATCAATTTTTTGCAATGAATTTATAAACGATTATCTCAAATTGATTGGTGTGGTGTACTTGACGAAGTAAGAAGTGGAAGCACAAAAAAAAAAATTCAACAGGTGTTTTTTTAGAAAGATATCCAAGAAGATATTCGGAAATCCATTTTAGAGAGTTTTTATTTTAGTTGAAAATTCAATTTCTTGCTTTCTTTTTTATTTTTTGATAGTGATCAATAGTACCAAAGGAAAATGCAAAACTGGCAAAACAAATTGCCGGTGGATAAAAGTATTGATAATGTTCAAAAATAATTAATCAAGTTGTAGATTTCAACAGACACTAATATGTCAAATAAACTAATATGAGAAAAAAGATCAATTAAATGAAGAGAGTAATTGTCAGTTAGATGACAATCACTCTTGATGTCATCAAACTTTTGACAAATGTCATCACACTTTTGAATAACACCTTTTAAACCATATTGAATAAGCAAATATGAAACTATTTACCATTTACTTTTAAGTCACATTTCCGGCTAACTTCATGAACAAATTCAAGCACTAAATTACGGTAGTTTTATTAAGGCTCAAATTCAATTAAAAAATTCCGCGTAGTTTTAGTACATTACAAAATTATTACACTTGTTAATCGAGCATTCCCTTTTTTGCAGACCAACAAATTCTTCCATTTATTTCTTATCCTCGTATATTTTCAATCATATCTTCTGTCCTCTTCTCAGGCCTTCTTTATGGTGATAAACAAATTAGTCATCAAAAACATCTTTGTTTGCGTGTTTATATAAAAAACAAAAGATGAATTGTTATGAGATATTATAATTCCTGACAAATTATTGAACATACGAACACTAATTAGGAATGAAGAATATTTCTATGCATACAATAATTTCGTCATGCAAAAGTTCGTGAAGTAACTTACGAAGCACCACAAAATACAAGTAAAGTGAATGAATTTAATAAAATTAAAGCTTAAAAACCAGTTCCTTACGTAACATATTACACATAAATGACGGCAGTTTCATAACATGCTAATTAAGTCAGATTGCTTTATGTTTGCGAGTAATATGGTGGCAGCTGACCAAAAAAAAAGATGAGCAATCTTCTCCGGAAATGTATCAAGAAAGACGATGAAGTTTTAAACAATAAAATAATGAAAAAAATAAATCATCAAATCAAATTTCACAACTAACTGAATAACATCACATGGTTTACAGACTTTTACGAAATCTCCTACTATATGAAGCAAATTGAACAGTACATCTTCCGGAAAATCTTGTTTCGATCATGAGAAACATGTAAACATGTAATACTTTTCTCGAATGCTTTATTCTTCTTCATTTCGACTAACTAAATAAAATTTTGATCAGAGTACAACTGCGAAAAAACACTAGCAAATCATTCGTCTTAAAACTCTAAAAAAGCCAGTACTGAAACCTCTACTTACTTATTGCCTAAATCTTATTCACACTTGCTTGACACAGCACTGTAAAAAGAGCAAAAATCGCTGTTCCATAAACTATAATGCTAAGAGCTGAAAACAACGGTAGATTTTTAAGAATTCAATCTAAAAAACCGATGAAATATGTTAAACACTCACGTACTTATTAGCAATGGACATGTTTAAAAAAACTTTTACCACATACCTGCTTTGAAATCACCGATATAAACTATCAGTGATTATTCTGTCTGGAAACATTGAATAGTCATCAATACTTGACTGTAACTGTTTCAACCTAAAAAGGAAACAAATACTTATCCCCAAATCCATGCTAGGATTTAGACAAACATCAAAAATTCCACATTACACGTGAGAATGATATGTATTAATTATACAAACCTTTTCAAAAATAGCTTTTTCGCATATGAATAAAGCATAATATCCAATCTATTCTTATCCCTAATTAGTTGCATTTGTTGTGGGGTTATTTCAGTATCATTCGATTTACTTTTGGTCCATTCAGCAAGATTTTTTGTAAACCTGAAGAGACCAATAACAATTTACGAAAGTCAAAAGTGCTGAAACAGACAATTATGTTTCTAGCTTTCGATGGAGAGATGTTTGTGAGATATGCCTATTAAATTTCACTTTTACGAGTAACCCAATAATATAGCTCTAGAAGCAATATGTAAAACACTAAAGAATCGATAAATAAGAAATTCTACTTATCTATATGAATAGGTTTTCCAATGTTCAACAAATACGAAATTTTATGCTAAATTTCATTTCATGACTCTGTTTGATGAAGTAAAATCTCTCAGCATATGCTCCTATTAGCTTTTAATTGAAACATACTTTAAGCGAAAAAGATGTTCAAACATCCATTGACTTTCAGCCATATGTTCTTTGAGACCAAAAAAAGCCAAATTTTTTAGATTGACTTTTGCACTTTCCAACATAATCTTATCTCTAGTTGCTGCATCTGTTGCTCGAGTATCGTAGCAATTGATTAGTGTTAAATCAGCTAACATTCGAGTTTGCCTACAATAAATTAAACATGCATATGGTATGTACGAAACCATAAAATTCATTGTTCGCCATTGAATCTATTTAGTGTCCGTATCAGACACCACATGTTGTAAACAATATTTTCCCATCATCTCATTTTGATTTTTAATCTCGCAGCACATGTAGGTGTGAATGTTTGCATACCAATTAAAAAGTAATGATAATTATAACTCTCTGCGTACGATAACACCAAAAGTTTACAGCATTGAGAAATTGTACTTTAATAAATAAAACAGTAAGTAAAGCATGTGGTAGATGTAAGTAAAGCAGTTGAAATTGACATACTCTGAATTGGTATGTCGATTTCAATCGCTTTACTTACATCTACCAAATTTGCCAAAATCTTTGCAATTTCAGGCAATCCTAGAAGATGAAGATGAAATGCTATTCCATCAGTATACATATAACATATTGAATTTATTATCACTAATCATGTAAGTAAAGCTTAATAATCTATTACTTCTTCATTATTGCAATAAATGTTTATGTAAAAGTAACAAACACACCTATTAAAAGCAAGATTGTATGGGCAAGCAAGAAATTCATCTAGTGTTACACCATCCCATCCAACCTCTGGGTCAAAACACAATGGTAATTGTTCCGGTGTTGGTGGTCGACCATTGCATATATGCCTGGCTGCTAACCATGTAGCGCCTCGTTCCACGTGACGATATTCAGATATAAAGCGTGCTACTGGTTCACGAAAAAACGATGTATAGAAATATCGTCTCTTTCGATGAAAACCTGCAAATTAATTACATTTTATAAGAAATCTCTTCAAAACATTAATGAAAAAATTCTATATCTAAAACAATTATATTTGTATACCTTCTTTTTTATCCAAGGCATTATCCACACAACCAGAAACGAACAATTCGGTGAAATCAGCATGTAATCCACAAACCCATCCGGTAGAATACCGAGAAAATAACCATATCTTGATGGTATTTTAAATTATAAAATATATATAAATTAAAGAAACCATAAAAAACCCAGAACATTAAACAGAGATTCGTATGCTCACTATGAGTAGAAAATTTTCTGCAGAAACACCGCAAAACAGATACCTTTTTTTTATGGCCGGGGCCCACACAGGTGCACCGTTTCTTTCCCATATGACAAATGCAAGGTGCTGAAACATTTAGATGCTTGACAAGAAATCGCTCAAAGCTTGTGCCTGCTGTTTTTTGTATGTGCAAGAATACGATCACATCGTTACCACTCATATTAAATCTGAAAAATCACTAATCATATGATAACACAATTACTCAACTATCAAGCAAAATGAACAGCACACACTGAGATTTTAACCAACAAATATGTGCAGACTCGAATCGTCAGAAAGTCTTTACAACTTTTACAGTTGAATTTTCATTGTTTTGATGATAATAAAAACGTTTATGAATAAAATGAAAAAAGTAAGAAATATGAAAATACCCATTATCAGGATCATCCAGAATTTTATTGAATGAAAGATTCCAACGGGTATAAAACGACGGTTTATATTCAGTAGCAATGCTATTTTTGAATGCAAATTCACGCATCTGATTTAAGCTATATCGTGGAAGACTAATACTTGCTGACGGGTAGTAACCTAAAAACATACACTTAGCGGCAAAATGAACTTGACAGAATCTGCGAAGCATCCATGTCCATTTGGAAGCAAAAACCTTGTAAAAAGTTCATCTTGAAACCATATTAACAATTCATTAAATAATTAAAGTTTTTGAACGAACGATATCAGAAAGATGTCCGTTCAAGAGATTATTCAGGAATGATTATCCAATATTAAAAAAAAAAAAATTGGAATCCAAAGACATACCATAATTTGCAGTGTAACTGAAGGATTTCTCAGCAACGAAATAGCCAAGAGGTATGGCAATAAAAAGAACGGTGAAAAGTACCAGACGTAACCAAGATTGCCGCTTATGCTTCATATAAATTTTACCAACTACTGAATTGTCCCCACCAACCATCTCTTGCCCAACGGTAACCTTGTTCGGTTGAAAATCACTGCATTTCTCGTTATCAAACTGATCATTTGCATATATTATCCGTGCCAAATCCGTTTTGGTTACCGTACTATGGAAAAAATATACAAAAATCTGACATAAGTAATGTTACAGTATAAAATTTTTGGCACATATTTCGGACGTTATAAAATATATTCAAAAATATAATGCATATGTAGTAGAAAATATAACATATATTTTATAAAACAAAAATTAGGAAGCAATTGATTCTTGCGTATCGAAACATCATTTTATTTTGTAAATTTCATTCAACGACAATCCAATCTAATTCCTTTCATTCTTCATTCTCTTTATGATGAATATTTTCCAATTTTCTAATTTAGCATCTATCTGATATCAAAAACACATGGCTAACCCAAATAAATGGATCCCTTAGCATGCGACTTTCGTATCTTAGCGAACTCGGGAAATGGTACATAATCTTATCACCACAATAATTCCCGACGAGATTTACGCTCGACCCTAGCTACACCAATTAACTCCTCCCCCTCCCGACGCCAAAAAAAGATCGTAGCAAGCGGAAAGCATGAAAAACGCGGAACACTCCTATTTCGCTTCTCGTTCCTGCTATTCATTTTATAAAGCGCCGATATAAAGGCATTGGAAACAATTTTCCGCATTATTGGTAATAGCAGTCAGGTGGGCGTGCGGTAACGTTTTTAAGCTAATAAGCTGGTTTATTTTAAAAGCAATTGTGTGCAATTATGATGGTACTCATAGTAAAATTAACCCATACTGATAATGGAAATGTTTAGCGTGACCTTTAATTCTTACATCAGTTTATATGTGATTGTAAAAGCGATCAGTTTACACTGATATAAATGCAAATAACCAATATGAAAATTATTGCAAAAAAAGAATAATTCGAAATTTTAGATAATTTCGGATTACTGAGGAATAAGCTTTCTACATATTTAATTCCATATATGCATTGCTATTCGCTGAGCTTTTCAAATCATGAATTTCTCCAAACTCTCTCCATATTTTTTTTTCGGCGATTAACAACAGTAAGTGGCGGGGGACGGTCTCATCTCAATCTTCTAGAACATTCTAACACGGATGGTCCCTCATTACCATAAATCAGCTGTTTCGCGCCAAAAGCGATCTGTGCGCCCATTAGCCCTCTTCCAGCACTCTTCACTGCGACCCCTTCACCTTTCACGTGTCCTTCCTCCATCCCTTTGTATGTGATGTGTGTATGCCGGCGTATGTGTGTGTGTGTGTGTGTGTATGTGCGATACATACATCAGGTGGTTATGTATGTGGAGCACGTATATGATTATGTCTGTAGCTATACGTGCTTACTAGTACACGTGCATCGCAAGTTACAGTTATGTAAAATTGTATTTATGTGTGTCGGTAATCGTATTAGATTTCTATCTACACCTCTATCTATTATGTATATGCAAATGTGTATGTCAGTGATTTTATCATATCTCTTTGTCAAAATATATATGTGTGTATGTGTATGTGTGCATATTTATGTGTGTGTGTACCATCTGTCTCTAATTCCTTTCGAATCATTAAAAAGATGGATCTGCACTGCAGTACAGTGAAGCGTATTTGTCCGTCTGTCACCTCCCAAAGCTATTTAAATTCGCTGTGGAATCAAAATTCATGTAGTGTGCATGGGTGTGTACATGCCAGTCTGTCCATGCCAAGTTTGTATGTCCGTTAATCTGCATGTCATTTCTACTCTGGGATTGATACAAGTGTGTATTTTTAGTATATATATGTGTGTATATGTGTGTATGTGTGTGTGT